CATGTGTGCATGTCATTTCCACCAGCACCACGCTGACAAACTTGGAAGTATTTGAGATATTAAATCTTAGTCAACTAGGTATACTCCACACCATGTGATATGTACAGAAAATGGGTAAGGATTAAGTCAGATGATGTATCACATATAAATATGTGCTTCCACTCCTGATTTGAGTCATTTTCAAAAGGGGTATATTTGTTTTTTTAAATAATTATTTAATTTTGTTTATTCATTTATTTTAATTAGACCAGAGAGAAAGAGAGAGCGAGAGAGAGAGAAAGTGAGAAAGCAAGCTGTCAGGTCCAGGACTCAAACCACAGTCGGCCATGTGGGAGTGTCCAGCGCCTTAACCACCATGCCACCTGCTGGCCCCCGAAAGCAGGGGTGTATTTGAGACAGATGAACCTTTAGCATTCTTAACTTTTCATAATGAGGTAATGGAAATGGTTGATAGGGAGAGAAAAAAAAAATAGAAGCTGAAACAAGAAAACAAAAGCACTTGGGACCTGCAGTTAGCGTAATGGTTATGTTGCTGGACTCCCACATAGTCGACCGCGATTCGAGTCCCAGACCTGGTGGCTTAAACTCACGCCGGGCGCGTGTGCATACGTGCCCAAGATCCCGGGAGGAGAATGGAGGAGAAGGGATTGCAGCATTGTCATCCCCGCTGGGGGTGATTTCTTGCTTTCTGTCTCTCCGTCTCTCTCTGTCTGTCTGGCGAGCGCACACACCCTATAGCAAAAACCTCTCTCCCCCCCCTCCCCGCCCCCCAAAAAAGAAAGAAAACAAAAGCACTTAAGAAACTATGGTCCTGGGCTGGTCCCAGGGCAGCCCAGTGGCCTAGTGATTAAAATGAACCATGAGAACCAACAGTTAGTGTAATGGCTATGTTGCTGGATTCCCACGTAGCCGACCGCAGTTCGCGTCCCGGACCCGGTGGCTTAGAACTCACGCCGGGCACGTGTGCGTGCATGCCCAAGATCCCAAGAGGAATCAATCCTATTAAAAGATGGGAGAATGAGTTGGGAAACAAACACTCTCTAAAGATAACATACGAATAGCTAAAAAGCATATGAAAAAATGCTCAACATCCCTCATTGTAAGAGAAATGAGGATCAAAACAACAATGAGATATCACTTAACCCAAGTCAGAATGTCTAAGATTAAAAAAACAAAAAAAGATAAGTGCTGGAGGGGGTGTGGTGAAAAGGGAACTCTCTTACACTGCTGGTGGGATTGTAACCCAACCACTGTGGAGAACAATTTGGAGATTCCTCCAAAATCTACAGATAGAACTACCATATGATCCAGCAATCCCACTCCTTGGTATCTACCCGAAGGACAGAAGAATACTTAATCGAAAAAGTGCTTGCACATCAATGTTTATTGCGGCACTTTTCACAATTGCTAAGTCATGGAAACAACATAAATGCCCACGAACTGATGAATGGTTAGAAAAACTGTGGCACATATACTCAATAGAATACTATTCATCCATAAAAAACAACAAAACCCTGGCTTTTGAAAGGAAGTGGATGAATATGGAAGACTTACTGCTGAGTGAAGCAAGCCATGCTATGAAGGAGAGGCATTGTATGTCCCCACTTAATACATATCGAGTGTCTGCATTCTAAAATATATGTATGTGTGTGTATATATATA